AATTAAGAAAATATGGTTTAGTGAAGAAAATAAAGATGACTAGTAATTTTTTATTCTGAGATAACTGGATGGTTATTTTGGTACGTTAACTACCTAAATCTGTTTTTTACGATATACCTACTAATTTTTTTTTATTGTGAAATTTTTGTTGTACATTATTGTTTGTCAGTCACCATATAAGTGCATCCCTCCACCCCCTGTGCCCACCCCCCACCCCCACAGCCCCTGGTAACCACCAAACAGTTCTATCTGTCTGTGTGTTGGTTTACCTTCCACATGAGTGAACTCATGCGCTGTTTGTCTTTCTCTTTCTGGCATATTTCACTTAACATAATACCCTCCAGGTCCATCCATGTTGGTGCAAATTATCTACTAATTTTTTTAAGTGGCTAGTCATACCATTTACGCTATTTTGCAACCTATTTTTAAAACTTCATATATCATAGACATGTATGGATACATCATAACTTAATCAATCGTCTAATGATTTATGTTGCCTTTTTTCAACTTTTAAAAACAATGCTACAATGCACATCTTTTGCACACATGTCCAATTACTTAAAATAACCTCTTAGGAGTCCAAGTGCCGGGCATCAACATTTAAAAATGACACAATACCAAACGGTAACTCCTCACATTACCTTTACTTTACAGCAGTCAAAAAGCCCTTTGTACACAGTAGTTGATAGAATGATAACTGATGAATGAATAGTGAACAAAAGATGGTTGTATATGGAGTCACTTAATCCCTACCTACAGATGATGCCTTTTCTAGACTATGAAACCGATGTACATTACTGCAAGAAACATGATGGGACAGAAAGATTCAAAGACTCGAGCTACAGGCCCAGCTCTGTGTATCCCCACATAAATCACTTTAACCTTGATCCCTGACTAATACATCCTAATTTCTTGAGGTTGTTGAGAAAATCAAATGAAAAAGGATATGTAAAAAGGTTCTGTAAAATCAATCCAAAGGATTACATGGATATATTAATGTAGTGCCCTAAATCAAGTGAAATTTAAAAGATGCTAGACTAACTTACCTCACAAACTCAGCATCAAACCAACCTTGCCACTGTTCCCATTCTGATCTTATTCTTCAATTTCAGTAACCAGACTCCTATCCCTTCTCCCTATACCTTAGTTTGCTGTCTGGTTCCACTACAAATGAAATGGGACCCCACCCCTGACCCCCTAGTGCCTGCTATCTAGAATTCTGTCCACTGCCTGATACTTTCTACCTTCTTAATGTGATCTTGCCCTGTCAAGACCTCTCTCTGCCTTTTCCTGATGCCTACCCTCACTGGGTCCTGTAATCAGAGCCAGCCTTTGTCTGGCTTATCTGAACAACACCAATTTTCAGTTACAACATTAATGATCAGCAACACCAACACTCAAAATTTCCTGCAGCTACAGGTAACACAAAATTTTAATAAGCTTAGTAAACCCGAACTAGTATCAGATGTTTCTTACTTAGTTCCAAATAATCATTTCTAGCTGTATTATCAACTCACCCCTTCAGAGACCTTATTATCTAATCAAACGGGAATACTGATCTCTTCTGAACATTCCTAACCATATTTTTGCTCAAAAAGTTCTTTCCACATAGAATGCTCAGGTCCCCAAATTTAATTTTTCCAAACCCCAACCAAAACAGTGTCACCTATGAATTTTTCTCTAATTACTATATCCCAAGTGACCTCTTCCTCCGAATTCACATAGCCCTCTGCTAAACAACTTTTATCTTACTTACTATTATTCTACTTGGTATTATGGTTCTGACTAATTTCTTCCACTTTTGATCTGCACTGTCCAATATGGTAGCCAGCAGCTACATGTGGCACCTGACCACTTGAAATGTGGCTCCTCCAACCTGAGATATGTATGAAAGTAGAATGTAAAATATCCCATTGAATTTTTTATGTTGATTACATATTGAAATATTTTTTGATATATTGGGTTAAATAAAATGAATTAATAAAATTAATTTCATGTTTCTTTTTAATGTCTCTACCAGAAAATTCAAAATTATATATTTCTCTTGGACAGTGCCGCTTTAGACCAGTGCCACTGCATAGAGTTTAGCAGACTTTTACCTGCAAAAGAGGATATGCAAGAGGGGCAAGAAGGGTTGAAATGAAGGTCAAACTCCACTCACCAAGCCATGTATCGTGCAGGGGCGCTGTGTCTGCTCAGGGGAAAAGAACCTGTTGCTTCACTCAAAGGTGCTATCCCTCACCAAACTGTGAGCTCTGGGAGCTCTGTGTGTCCAGAGGGGCATATCTCTTTCTAATTTGCTGAGGCATCATATAAGCAAGCAGTAGCTCTGACATGGGGGACCATGTCTTACTTATGTTCTATCTGCCACATATCAGTCACTAAAAGTAGTTGAATGAATGAAGGAATGAATGAGTACCCAACTCTACTTACCTTCTTCAGATATATATCTTCTTATCATATGAGAACATATAACACTTTATCTGGTTAGAGAATATAGCTCTCATTAGTGCCCACACAAATCAAAATCATTGTTTAGCCTCAAGACTCAAGGTTTTATTTGTTTCTGTTCTGATCATTATAGCACCAAATTAATAATTATTATACGGTATTTTTTCTTTAATACCTCTTTACTTCCAAATAAGCATTTGACCATTCCTATTATCCTCTGAAAATATTTATTATATATGTTTACTTTTTTAAAAGATCAGTATAAAAATAATGAAATACCAAAGAATCCCTAATTCTTTCCAACCAACCTGACTGCGTTTCTCTTCCTGTTTCAGCATACTTGCCCTTGAGAGATTTCACAATTTTGGAGGTGCCCGAGTCTACTGTCCTTACTTTTCCCTTGGGACACGAATCTGTACTATGTTGAACAACGGTTTTTTTCCCTTTTGTACTTTTTTGTGTAAATTCTTCGTTATCTTTCTTGGGACTTATTTTTGAATCTACCTTCTTAGATTTGCATGAGTTTTTCATTTTCTGAATTCTGTCAGAGTTATCTAAATTATTTTCATTTCCAGAATCCTCTTGATTAATTTTTTTGGTTTCTTTCTTTTTCTCTTCAACTAGATTTTTTGATTCTATTTTGGTTTTAATTTGGGGTTTTTTCTTCTTCATTTTCTTTTGGTTCAACACTTTGTTATCTTCATCAGACAGATCTGAATCAGAATCCGAAAGGTCATAAAAACGTTTCAAGTCCTCTGTAGTGCTGTGGTTGATGGGGCGTCCTCTTTTATCCACAGCATAATTCAACTTGAACTTTTTGTCATGAAACATTGCTCGAAATCTCTTGTCAATTTTGACTTTTCGATCCTTTTCTGGCATTTCCCAAAATCTTGGGTCCTTTGTAACCCGCCTAAACCGCTGATCACTCATTATTTCTTGTTTGGATGCCATTTTTAAATGTCTGACGGGACAAATGCTTGAAGAAACCAAATACTAAAAAACAAAACAAATGTTAAAATAATGAAGGGTTAGTAATACAATAAGATGCTTCAGGAAAAAATATTAATTCACAACATATTCTAAATTAAATGTAAATTAAATAAAGGAAACAAGGCTAATTTCATTTTCCAAACTTATTCTGAGTCACATGCAGAAAACCAAAAACTATCAGAATGTCCTCTTTTGATTACAGAGCATTTGGAGAAATAAACTTAAGAGGAAACCAAGCAGAATTCCAGGGCTTTATGGAGGGGGGCAAACGCTTACTACCCAATTGCACTCACTTAAAATTTCTATATTTCTATTTGTATACAAGTTAAAAGCTGATGTAATCAAAAGATTCCCAGGCCTCAGTTGGTCTCATTTGTTTCTTCACATTCTGACCCCATTCTCTCTGTTAATCTTACCTTATGCTACTTTAAACAGCCTTTAGTTCTACAAGGTTAGTTTCCTAACTAAAGAGACCAAAATCAATTCAGGTTTAGGTCACAAAGTTCCCTCTCTAAATCCGACCATCCTTTAAGAAGCAGGTAAAGTCTCACTCTTTTTAACAAATATCACTTCTTTCTATAATTTCTTATTCTACCAGTGACTAAGGCCCAAATGGGCTGATTCCCCCCAAAACATATTAGAATGTGTGTGTGTGTGTGTGTACAATTAGTGTTGTTTCCTTGAAAACAGTCACTAATGGTTTGGCATCTCTAGATTTGATTTTTGCAAAGAACCAAAAGTCATTGATTATTAAGAGCAAAAAGGAACTGATCAAACAGGGTAGTGGTGCTTTGTTTCAAAAGAAAGGCTTGCCTATAAAGCTATATTTTTTTTCCTTAAATTTGAAAAAAACACCAAGAAAATCAAAGGTTTCAATAATCCACTTACACACTCAAAAATATTAGTATTAATAACGGCGAGCTTTTACTACGTGCTGGGTACAGCGCTATGAGTTTTAGATGTATTAAAGCATTTAACCCTCTGAACAGTCTTACGAAATAGGAAGCATCTCATCCAACTATTAGAGGTAACGCAAATAAATGTTTAGAACGAAAGCACTGGACAAACGTCAGATACTCGGAGAACAGAAGGCGACCTGACCCCATCTCCAACGTCCGCGCTGATCTCCGGAGCCCACCCTCCCCTTCTAGCCACCCCTAACGCGGGGCAGCTAGGGTAGCCCCCGGAACGAAGGTCTCCTTTCCCAATTCCCAAACCTCAGGGCGCGGCTATCGGGCTGAGGTCCCTCGACAGAACACTAGGAGGACCAAGGAAGTCTGAAGAATGAAGGCGGAAAAGGCAAGCAGAAAAGGCGCACCCTCTCGAATCCCAAGAAGTCTGTTCTGTCCGCTCCACAGTCCTTCCTGACAGCAAGCCCAGTCACCCCCCGGGAGCCCTCTCAGAGCCTCATGTGAGATCCACACCCACAATCCTCCGCGTGACGCTCCGCCGTAATGGCAAGCGAACTAGGCCAAACTACTTCCCCTTTCTCTCTGAGAAGAGCTCTAGAGTAGGCGCCAGAGCCGCGGCCACGCATGCGCACGATAAGCGCGCCGGCGAGTCGGGTAGCTGGTGGAGATGCTGAGGCTGACCCGGCTCTGCCTCCTGTGGCGGCGACCTCCGGCGGCGGGGGTCCCGGCCAAGAACCTCGGCCTCAGGGAGGTCGCCACTGGTGTCTCTCCGCCGGGCAGTGCCTCGCTCAGAGCCCTAAATATCTTTGACCGCGTTTTGAAGAGGAAACAGAAGAACTGGGCGGCCCGGCAGCCCGAGCCAATGAAGTTTGACTACCTGAAGGAGGAGGTGAGTCCGCGGGGCAGCGGGGGAGGGCGGCGCCGCCTTGGCTTCGGGTCCAGCAGCTCCGGCCGGGCCCCGACCGACCCCATCTCGCTGTGTGACCTTGAGCAGGCACCCTGGCTGTCTGGGCCTCTACTGTAATCACTGAAGGGCTGGGCTCGGATATTGTAAGGTTCTATTCATTCATTCACTCACTCGGCAGATATTGCTTGAGTTACGGGTATGTCCAGAGCAACGTTAAGACCGTTGCCCTCATGAAGTTTCATTCTTGCGGGAGGCAAGACAGTGAACAAGAAATGTAATTTCAGCTAAAGAAAGAAAGTGAGGTAGTGAAGTGAAGTCGTGTAGTGACTGCGATGATCAGGGAAGGGCGCTCCGGCAGACGACGTGTTGAGGAATTGGCCAAGCTGAGATCTCGGGGGGAAAGCCTTATAGGCAAAGGGAAGGACAAGTGCAGAGTCCCTGAGGCCTCTAGTGAAGGAAAGAGTGGGAGAGAGGTCAGGGAGGGCCCAGGTTATTAGGGCCTTAGAGAGTAAGGACTTTGAATTTTCTTCTATCTGCGTTGTCCATTGAGTACGGTAATCTCTGGCCACATATGGCTTTTCAGTACTTGAAGTGTGGCTAGTCTAATTGAGATGTGCTGTAAATGTAAAATACACTGTATTTCAGTGACTTAGTATGAAAAAAGGATGTAAAATATTTCACTAATTTTTATCTTGATTACATGTTGAAATTATATTTTTGATATATTGGGTTAAATAAAATATGTTAAAATTAATTTCTCCTGTTTCTTTTCACTTTTTTAAAGTAGCTATTAGAAAATTTCGAATTACTCGGATGGCTCTCATTGTTTTTCTATTGGCCAGCACTGCTCTAGAGGAATGTGAGGCTGTGGAATGGTTTTAAACAGTGGAGTGATAGGATCTGGTTTATATTTTAGGAAGATTAATTAAGAGAAATTAAGATCTCTGATTTGTGCTGGTTTGAAAGACCTCTTCCTTTCTGCCCAGGTGGACTAGAAACTGAGAGTTTCTACTCTTTGGACATGCAGCACGGAGCTCAGGCCTAAGTAAATGTTTCTTCAGGGATGGAGCAATATCGAAGTCGAGTATAATGAGCTCTTTCAAGCCAATGCAACAGACGTTCATTGAGCTCCTTTTCTGGGCAGAGCTCTTTGCAAGCCCTGACCTGATCAGATGATTGACAGTGTTTGTCCTCAAGGTTCCTAATGGCATGTACTTAGAAGATGTGTGTTCCTAGCCACCCTTCTCCAAGAAACGCTCCTAGATTACAACTTGACTGAGGCCTTGCCAGTGTGCAGGACTGGAATAAATGAGATAAAGTATTTGAGAGTTCTTTTTATAATTAAAAAAAGATTCATATTAGGAACGATGTACAAAGTGGACTTCTCTGGGAAAAGACTTCTGCTGTACCTCTTCCCTTTGCTCCCTCCCCCAAAAAGCAAATACACATATGTTCTAAACTTTCAAGTCCTAATAGAAACTCTGGGGTGTTTATGAGGGAATAAGTGGAATGTGGGGAATATTTGGCTCCTACATATTTATTCCTGCCAAATGAAGCTAGCCCAGCAAAAAGAGGCAACTACCTTATGATATCTTTTAGATTGGGATGGGATTGGGGAGGGGAGGTGGGAAGTGCGGTTTCTTCAGATTTGGCTGACTTTTTCTAATTTGCAAATGTTGCTCAGAAAAATTGTTTACTCATTTAGGAGTTCCACAAAATTTGTTAGTAATCATCAAATAATAGAATTTTTATTGTGACAACTTATACATTCATCTGTAATAAACCCCAGCTAACTAAATAATTTTTCAGTCTCATACACCTCACCCTAATATCTGTGGGCAATAATGTGCCTGTTATGCTCCTGTTGCTTTTCATCCTTGCGATCTTATAGCACATGGAATGTAAAGGCCAAAAAATATGTGTGTATAAAGAATGTTTAGTCTTGAATTCATTAAACTGACTTCTGAAGTAATTTGCCTCAATTTGTTTCCTGGGATATTTTAAATTTATTATGTTTCTATTCACAATTTGTAAAGAAAATTGCTGTGGTCAAACTGAAACGGGGATAAAGGGAAGTACTTATCAACATGTTGAAACATAAGTAACCTATGGATTGTTGAATACTGGGAAGAGTGTTACTTCTCTGGTAAACCTACTCCTCTTAACTTCTGTCCATCATGGCCTCCTGTGTTCCTTCAGGTTGGAAGTCGGATTGCCGACCGTGTATATGACATAGCCAGGTAAGTGATGATTATCATAATAAAATAAAATTAACTTTTGTCTGCAGACTCAAGAGATTGGGTGCTGAAAGCTTGATAATCTGGAATGGCAGAATCTGGAGGAATTTATTATCAGGATTAGGGATTTTTTTGTTTTGTTTTGGTGAGGAGATCAGCCCTATGCTAACATCTGCCAATCCTCTTTGTCTGCTGAGGAAGACTGGCCCTGGACTAACATCCGTGCCCATCTTCCTCCACTTTATGTGGAACGCCACCACAGCATGGCTTGCCAAGCAGTGTGTAGGTGTGCGCCCGGGATCCGAACCGGTCAACCCCAGGCCGCCGCAGCGGAGTGCGCGCACTTAACCGCTTGCGCCACCAGGCCGGCCCCAGGATTAGTGATTTTAATCACTCTCTAGGTCTCTACTTTTTTATGGCTGGGAGAGCAAGTGATCTTTTCTTTATTGTTGCCTAAAAAAAGAATGAATGGAAACACAACTCATAGTTTCTCTCTGAGCCTGAATGACTGATCCACTTGATTTGACCAAAAGCCAGTAATGGAAAGATTGCTCCAAAAATGGAAATAAAGAATTGACTACATATGAATTTTTAAGAATTATTAAACCTAGCTTTAAAAGTTTAACTAAAATTAACAGAATCTTTTACCATCTAAATGAGGGAGAGAGTCTACCTAGATTTCTTCCCCAATCAGGTTATGTGAGACTTTGGCCATATTATCTTAAATATTGTTAACAGCAATGAGAGTTCTCTGACAATTATATAGAGGCAGATTTGAGAAAAGAACACTTTCATCGAGTATTATTAAAACCTTGATGGATTTGTTGCTCTATATTAAACATAACAAAAGCTTTACAGATTCAGTTTATAGCTACATGGCAGGAACCACAGTTAAATAATGAGTTTGCTATAGAATTGCTCTATTTTGTTAGCAAATCACTTTTTGTGCTCTTTTGTCTGAAAAACATCCATTAAATTAGACCAACGTAGGATGACTTTTTTACATTTGTCTATAAAAAAGGGAATTTTGTAAAATCACAAACTCAGTCATATTTTAGATATATCCTTGCCACTTAAAGAGTCTTGGGATGAATTAATTTCATAAGGTAAAAAAAACCCTTCAGTGTTGCAAATAATCACCCCATTCCATCTGTTTTATTAGTTCCATTGTTTTAAAGATCTGAAAAATAGCTAATTCTCTATACTATAGTCATTCATTTGCTTGGATTTTAGGCCATTTTCGATTTAATAAATGAAACATTAAATTTTCCAAATCAGTTTGGATTTCATAGTCTTTTTATGTCATAGTACTAAGCAAAACACAGGTCTATAGAGAGACCTGTGATTATGGCTAAAAGCACGTCCTAAACTAACATTAACTCTTTAGAATTAAATTATTAAAAATACCAGTCTAAGTGTTCTTGCACTAATGTTCTTTCCTTAGAAAGAGTAGTTTATGTTGTCAACACTGATCTTTTGTTGATTTTTTAAAACTAATCCCACAGATTATTAAATGTCATATTTGTGATATCTGAGACTCACTTAATACTGTTACAATCAGTGATAATAATAACTCATAACTAACTTTTGCTGAGTGTTTATACTGTGCTAAATACTTTACATGCATTATTTCTTAAAATTCTCTCAACAACCCTGAGGGAGGTAGTAACTTTTCCATTTTATAGTTGGGGAAACTGAGATCCAGTAAGATTAAATCACCATGTATGGTCAGAGCCAATAAATTGTAGCCCCAGAATTCTAACTCATGTTTTTCTGATTCCAAAGCCTGTGTACTTCACCATGTCACACTGCCTGTGTTCACAATCAAGATAGAGGGCAGGTAAATAAGTGGTTGTTTCTCACCGGCAGTTCTCCAACTGTGTACTGGTGTTGTATACTTTTGACAAAGGTTTTAACAGAAATTGAAATAGGGAGGCGGGCCTGGTGGCACAGCGGTTAAGTTTGCGTGTTCCGCTTTGTCGGCCTGGGTTCGCCGGTTCCCATCCTGGGCGCATACCTACTCGCCACTCATCAAGCCATGCTGAGGTGGCATCCCACATAGAAGAAGTAGAAGGACCTACAACTGGGATATACAGCTATGTACTGGGGGCTTTGGGGAGGAAAAAGAAGGAAAAAAAAGGAAGACTGACAACAGATGTTAGCTCAGGGCCAGTCTTCCTCAAGAAAAAAAAAATTGAAAAGGGACTCGGTTTCAATAGGAAAAATGTTATTAGTGGATAAAATTTAAAATTTTCTTGTTACAAATTTTTCTTAAACCTATAGCCTATAATTAGATGTGTGTACTGATTTAGTGTGACATGGTATATTTAGAGGAGACAGCATAGCATAGGGGACAATAGTCCTTGTTTAGGATTCAAACTGACTAAATTCAAGTTCTGACTGCCAGTTATTGGTTGAGTGACATTGGGTTGACCTACTTTACTCTGAACACTTAGCACACTGCTTTGAACCTGGTAAGATTTCGGGAAAGTTAGCTGTTATTTAGTTGGTGTTTTGTTTTGTTTTTAGTTTAACATATTAATATTTCATGATATTTCACATGATGATTTCTAAATCATCTGCTGCCTCAATAAATATGAGAAATAGAGATAATTAGTAAGTTCCTGAATGTGATGAATATTTTCATGTTAATTTACATTAGCTTCTTTTTGTTCTTTATCTGGATATATTATCAAATTAAAATACCCCCACTAAATCTGTTCTTTGAATTCATGTCATAGAGCAATCTTATGGAAAGCTGCTTGACTGTGAGGTCTTGTGAATGAATAGACACGAGGCAGACTTGCTCTGTCTGGTAGATACAGCTTGTAAGACAAGGCAGAAAAAGCAGATGATATAACTTTTTGCAAGTTGTGTTCACTAAAATGTTTTTACTTAAAAAAAATAGTTCTTAATAATTATATTATGGACTGTATTATTAAAGACAAAACATAACTTTTGTGTGTATTTTTTAGAGATTTCCCCCTTGCTTTGGATGTTGGTTCTGGAAGAGGTTACATAGCACAACATTTGAATAAGGTATATTTATTTGATGACTTAACCTACTTTGAGAAATAAAATTGACTAATTTTAAGGAAAGACTTTCTTAATCAATTAAGTTTGTATCATATTTAGGTTTTGATTATATGAGAATTGCTAAGTTTTTTTTGAGTGGTTGAACCAGTGGTTGTTTTGTGTCCCTTCTTAAGTATTTTTTTCTTAAAGTGATTTTTCTTTCCTTTGAATCCATATTATACAGTGATTCCTACTGATAGTTTCTTTAAATCTATATAAGATACAGTGCTCTTAGTTCCCACTTTGTTCAAATGTTTTTGATGATTCACAATAAAATCAGATTGACATTCATTTGAAAAATGTGATTAAGCTCATTTTTTAGCTAGGAAAAATATTAATTGCATCAGTTAGTTAGAAATCTTTCTGTTTGATTAAAAATAAGTAGCCTTTGTTAATGCTTATACCATTTTATTTTGCATTTTCTAGTTCAGACGATGAAAACCATTTATTGTTTTAGCCCCTATATATACTACATTGTGATGGACACAGATTAAAGTGGGCTTTCTATTTAAAATCTTCTTAGAAAAAACATACACTTGGGCCAGGGCAGGGGGAGAGGGGTGTGTGAGTCTCCTAAAACACTGTTATTGATCACAGTAAATGCCACAGAAATGGTACAGTCATTAAACTGCAACAGGAGTTAAGGGAAAGGAAAAATCAGTAGGGGTTCATGTGGTCAAAGGCTTCTGAAAGGGTGCAGAATCTGACCTGAGATTTGAAAGAAACTGGATTGGTGTTTCATAGACATTGGAAATAAGGGGATGGCAGGAGGAAAGGCACAGAGTTGCTTGCTGAATGCTGTAGGGTGTGACATAGTGATGTTTAAGGAAGATTAATTTGGAGATAGTATGCAAGAAGGGTTGAAAAAGAGAGAGGATAAAGATACAGACCAATTAGGAGGCTTTGTTAAAGGTGGTGCAGGCATGAGAGATAAAGGCCTGCCGCCCACGTGGAGGCAGCAACATATAAAGGAAGGGATGTATGAAAGAGACGTAGAAGAATCCATAGAACTTGATGACTGATCAGATATGGTGGTCAGAGTAAATCCGTTCTTCTGGTTGCTTAGGCCAAAAAACTTATTCATTGATTCCTCTTGTGTCTTCCCCTCCCAGATCAAATCCATCAGCAAATCTTATTTGGATTTCAAAATATATCCATAATTCTACCACTTCTTACTACTTTCACTATTACCATATTGGTCCATATTGCAGTAGCCTCCTTATTGGCCTCCCTAGTTCTATTCTTGCCCCGACAGTTCGTTCTCACAGCAAAGGAATCCTTTTAAAACACATCAGTTCATTGACACATCAGTCCTCTGCTCAGAACTGTTGGCTTCTCATCTTATTCAATAATAATCCAGAGTCCTAATCCGTAAGGCCCTCAGTGATCTGGCTCCCCATGATGTCTCTGACCTTATCTCCTTCCCCTCATTCCCTGCTTTTCAGCAGCCCCGGGTCCTTGCTGACTCTCATACTGGCTGGAGCTTTGCATTGCATTTGTTCTCTATGCTCTTCCCCAAGATCTGTGTGTGGCTTACTGCCTCACCTCGCAGATTTTTGCTTAAGTGACCCATCATCAAAGATCCCTTCCCGGACTATTCTATAAAATAGGGCTCCCACTCTCCACTGGCTAGTTGCTTTATTTGTTTCCATAGCACTCATTTGTACCTGCTGTATGTTTGTTTATTTGGTGTCTGTCTTCTCTTACTGGAATATAAGCTCCATAGACTTGCTTATTTTTGTTCACCACTAAGTTCCCAGTACCTAGAACACACAATGAAGATTTATTAAATGAATATTGCATGAATAAATGCATGATAACTTTGAAGTTATTACTTCAGTGACTGGAAAAAGGGGATGTGGTGCGGCAAGGAGCAAGGGGTATTCATATTTTAGATATGTTGAGTTTGAGGTGACAGTGGACTATATGACCGTTAATGTCTGGCAGGTCATTGGAAATACGGAAATGGAATTGGGATGTTGAGGTTAAGAGCATTGACTGAAGTTGGATGGATGGGGATTCAAAATTCAGCTCAGTCACTTGCTGTCTCTATACCCTTGGACCAGTTGCCCAACTTCTCCAGACCTCAGTTTCTGTAAAATGCGAGCAGTAATACCTATCTCCAAAGGTTGGCAAAAGGATTAAGACAAGATAGGTCTGGCAAAGTGGAAGCTATTGTTCTTATTGGGAAGCCTCTATGAGAGGTGGCAGCTGAAGCTATGGGAATAGGTAAGCTGTCTGGGGCAAGAATATAGAAAAGAACCTTCCACAATTGTATTTAGGGGTGGAAAAATGAGGAGGAGCCAACAGAGATGCTGGGAATAGAAAGCAGGATGGAAAATGCTTTAATATAGTATCTTTTGATTGTAAGAAGCAGAAGTCCCCTGAAGCCAGTTTAAATACAAGGACATTTATTACTTAGAGGCTCTTATGTCACTCAAGGATCTGGAAGTACAGCCAGGCCTCACAAGGGATGGGGACTTTGAAACATCAGAATGAAGGCCCTCCTGTTCACATGCTCTCTGGGATTACATAGATCCTGCATGGTTGCCTTCTTTTCTTTTTTCTCTCTGCAGACTATCCCTGGTATTCACCAATGCGTGTGGCCCCAATATGAGTACCCTACACTCAGTGGTGTGCTAAGGCTACCGTATATCAGCCCATGAAAGCTGATTGTTAGTGTCTCTTCCCAACTCTGTGTTCAGTGATGTAGTGTTGATAACTTGAAATCAGCCGTGGCAGAGTATTTACTCCGTGGAAGTTGACAAATGCTTCAAAGCAGTCCCCCACCAAGAACCAGCTATTTAACATTTACCAGCACACCACTGCCTACACCCCAGAGTCTCCGTGCTCTTCCAACTCCAGGAACCTCTGCCCCTGTCGCTCAATCTCTTATTTAAATTTTCAGGTGAGAGACAGGGATAGATAGTCTGGATTGGCCTATTTTTCACCCCTCCTGCTGGCATGCTGGAGCTGGCTCATGAGAGCCAATTGTGCACATCTCTTCCCAACTCTACATTTAAAGATTTTATTTATTTATTTTTTCCCCCCAAAGCCCCAGTAGATAGTTGTGTGTCATAGCTGCACATCCTTCTAGTTGCTGTACGTGGGACGCGGCCTCAGCATGGCCGGAGAAGCAGCGCGTCGGTGCGAGCCCGGGATCCGAACCCGGGTCGCCAGCAGTGGAGCGCGCTCACTTAACCACCAAGCCACGGGGCCGGCCCCCCAACTCTACATTTAGCAACATCATATTGGTGGCGTGAAATCCGCCATTGCTGTAGTGGTTACACCATGGAAATTGGCAAACACTACAACTCAGGGCACCTTTTTTTTTGAGAGCCTCTAGTTAAACATTTACCTGCACACCAGTTGCCCTCAGGTAATCAGCAGTGTCCAGGCAATGGTAGGGTACTCAGGAAATGGTACAGTACCCTTTCCGAGTTGTGAGCAGGGAAGTTCTTTAAGAAGGAGGTGTAAGTGAAGTGGAAAGCGTTGGTTTCTCTAACAGAGAAGGTACTGAAAGAAAATACTGAAAAAGTTTCTAGCCGACCGTCAACTCAATAGTGCTGTGCTTCAAAGAGGTCAAGTGAAGTTAGACTGTTGTGGTTTGTGATGACTTTATTAGTAATCTTTATAAATAGTTTTAGTAAAGCAGTGAAAGTGGAAATAGATTACCAAGAATTGGGGAGAAAAACATTAGTGAGAAGTAGAGTTGTCTACTGCAAACAAAACAACTAGAAGATGGTTACAGGTGAGGAGATTTTTCAAAATTGGAGGGCTTATTCCTATTTTAAGGTGAGAGGGAAAGAGACATAGAAGACAGAGATGGAACACAGGTAGAGATGGTGATGGAGCAGGATCCTGGATAAGAGAGAGCACGCTGGAAGGTGTTAACCTGGGAAAGAAATAGCGCAGCACTCTTTCCTCTTGGAAGGAAGAGAGAATAGGTGAAACAGGGAAGATGAAACCAGTTAGGCCCCGGGTAAGTAACTGTGTTTATTAAATCTGTCTTTATTCTTTGTAAACTCTTTGAAGGAACAACTAAAAGGTGGGAAAACCTTTCCAGGTCTTTTGTGGCACAAGAGTGCGGACTGGCTCTCAGCATATTATACCATGGAAAAGTTAACATGTAAGCCTTAACCCTGTGAGGTAAATTAAGAATGCTGATTATTCACACCTGTGTTCTCTATTTTATTAAATATAAATATATTACATATAGGATTAGTTGCATATATTTAAATCTGTGTAACTTAATATGTGTTATTAAAAGTAATTGCATACCATACTGATTTTATGCAGAAAAATACCCTTACAAAGCTGAAAATTAATTTATAATTATCACTTTCTCCTTTAGCAGTTTCAACAGTCGTTTTGTTTTACTTGTTAGTGGGTTTTTGTATTGTCTGATCAACTGTATTTCATTGCAGGAAACTGTTGGAAAGTTTTTCCAAGCAGACATTGCAGAAAATGCTTTGGTAGGTAGCTTTTTTAACACTTTTGGTTTCTGATCTCCTGGTTTAATTTTTAGTTCTTCTTTATTTTGATTTCCTTCAAAATGGAAATAGCTTTATTGTTTGTGTTTTTCCCTGATTATAAATATAATATACATAAAGAAGAATTAGACAATATAGGAAATACAAAGGAGAAAGAAAATATCACCCTTAGTCCCACCACTCAGAGGCAACTACTGGTGACATTTTGGTCTCCACCTTTGCAGATGTATAGCTATCTCCCCAACACACAATTTTATACAAATGGTATTATGCTAACGTGCCACGTTTTTCACAGAATATCATTCTTTTATATCAATGAATGATACGTATACACACGCATACCATCTTTTTAAAGGGCTATATAATATTTTAATATATGAATATTCCATGATTTATTTAGCTGAATTTCTATCGAAGAACAGTTATATTTCTAGTTTCTCAATAACCAACACTGTGATGAACATCCTTATATAAAGAAACTCTGTATGTTTGATTTATTTTTCTGCCTGCGAATAAATTCCTAGTTGTGGAATTTGTGGATTCATTGATGTTCATCTTTAATTTTTGACATGCATCTCCAGACTGCCCTTAGAAAGAATGAACAACAATATTACATGAAAGCACCTTTTTCTCCTTCTCTTTGGCTCTTTGGTTTGTAAGAGCTTGTTTGTTAGGGATATTAATCTTTCATCATATGTGTTATAAATATTTTCCCCAGTGTGTTGTTTATGTTGTTTATTGCTTTTTAGAAGTTTTTGATTAGTTTTTTGTCAAGTATATCAATCTTTTCCATTACAGTTTCTCGCTTTTAAGTCATGTTTACTTAGGTGTTTTTATTTAAGAATATAAAAATGTTCACCCATATTTTCATCTAGTACTTTTATGGCTTCAATTATTTCCACTGAAACTTTCAGCCTTTTGAGATGTGTTTTGGTGTGAGATAGGTATCCTGTTTATGTTTTTCCAACCAGCTAGCCAATTTTTCCGGCTGGTCTTTAGTATCATTTCAGAAATATTTTTTGAGCTTCTATGTGGCTCCTTTTTTTGAAGGGTTAGAAACTGCCAAGTAAATATAACATTGACTTAAATTTAACAATGATTGCATTAGTAATTGAGATTCTGTATAAATGTATTTTTGAACTTTTATTTTTTAACCATTAGAAAAATACCTTAGAAACAGAAATTCCTGCTGTCCGTGTTTTAGCTGATGAAGAATTCCTTCCCTTCCGAGAAAATACGTTTGACCTGGTGGTTAGCAGTTTAAGGTTGGTAATCTATTTCTACTTTAAAACATATGTTATAAATAGATAATTTATGCTATAAAGTTTTGATATTATAAGGTAAAGAAAATAGGTAATGAAGTAAATTCTTAACTTTTTTTTAATAAGTCACAAGCCCAGTTATCTTGGTGTGTAAGCTTTAAGATTTCTCTGCTAGAGAATTTTGGATTATATGCTCCCTAGTGGAGATAATATGATATAGTACCTCAACTTTTTTTCCCCTGACTTTCCTCAATTTGCTAAAGCTCATCTGTGATAGAAGGGTTTTCCTCTCCAGTGTAGCTTAATATCCTGGAATTGATATTGATGGGGGCAGGAGTTTGAAAGAGTATACTGGCTCTAATATTCAAATGTTAGAGCACCCTTATAAACTCATTCTGCCAAATAAGGAAAAGCTAGTATTTCTTTCAGCTTTAATTCTTTTTCTACAGAGAAATGTAGTCCTCAAAGTTACTTTTTTCCCTTTGTGCTTCCTACCATGTCCCTCCACATTTGTCATACAAACATGCGTTACAAGTGGAATAAATATTGGATAGATTATAATATGCAAGGCACTGAGTTAGGTGCTTTAGGGGAGTACAAAAATGAATTCAGACAGGGATCCTGTCCTCAAAGAACTCAGCATCTAATAGAGAAAATAAATATTCTGTGTTGTACCTTATTTCTTCTATCTTATTGTTATAGTCAGATAAATTTTCTTTCAAAGATTTAACGTGCTCTCCATGTCAGTACAGCCCTTTCCATAGCTGTTTTTAGGGTGACCAGTCATAACGGTTTGCTCAAGTCTTTATCAGCGTTAGCACTGAAAGGCCTGTGTCCCAGGAAACCCCTCAGTCCCAGGCAAACTGGGAGAGTTAGTCACCATTGCTGCTTTCTTTAGTGAGTTTGTAATTTCTTCCCTGCTTTTTGAGGTGTGCTAAACAAAGTAAGAAAAGTATTCAGATTCTCTCATGAAATGGAAAACATTACAGAGCCTTGGTCTAAGGGAAAGAGCTCTGGGCAGGGAGTCAAAACCTGAGTTTTAAGTTTAGCTCATCTGCTTGCTATTTGCAAGTAACTAATTCTGTTGCTTTCAGTTCCTCCATAAGTATGATAGAGCTTATAATATGACCTCCTTAATTTTAAAGTATCTAATAATTGTTAGAAAGCATTATTAAAGATAAATTTGAACTTAACACAATATGGTTTGAAATGGGTATTCAGTGCTGTCTTGGAAGTCAGCGTTAGAGGATGCCAACTCTACCAGGAAGGTGTAAGCGAACTCTATAGAGACTGAGACTATGATTCTTGCCATCATATTCTTGTGTATCACCATGCACTGGGACAGGGTCAATAAGGTCAAAAGACAATGCAAGAAGTTCCTTAAATTAAATTTTAAGTATATGGAGCTCTGCTTTTTGTTTTTTGTTTTTTACTGAGGAAGATTCGCCATGAGCTAACATCCGTTGCCAATCTTCCTCTTTTTGCTTGAGTAAGATTCGCCCTGAACTAATGTCTGTGCCAGTCTTCCTCTATTTTGTACGTGGGTCGCCGCCACAGCATGGCTGCCAGTGAGTGGTGTAGGTCTGCACCCAGGAACCGAACCCAGGCAGCTGAAGTGGAGTGCGACGAACTTAACCACTAGGCCATGGGGCTGGCCCCATGGTTTTTGTTTTTTTTTATGATCTTAAAAAATATGGAATGTTATTTGTCAAAAAACTCATTGAGTTAATTTTTTGATGAATAATACTATTTGCGTTAGGAAAGTTATAGGTGTGCTGATGGATTTTATTTTTTTCCAGGAAAGTAGGAGTTAGAATACTAGTGTATATCTCTAGCTTAATTGTTTGATTTAATTAATGAGCTTCTTTGAACATGTCATCAGGTGCCTATTTTTACTACTTTCTTTGAATAAAGTCTCAGAATAACACTGTTTACCTGAGATGTCAGATAGGAATGACTTTTACTTTATTTTTTTTCTCAGCTTTGTTGAGATATTATTGATATATAGCATATGTAAGTTTAAGGTGTACAATGTAATGATTATACTCATGTATATATTGCAAAATGATCACCACAGTAAGGTTAGTTAACATCTCCATCCCTTCACTAATTACGATTTTTTGTATATGTGTGTGGTGATAACATTTAATATCTACTCTTTTAAAAACTTTCAAGTATATGATACAGTATTGTTAATTATAATCATCTTGCTGTGCATTAGATCCCCAAATCTTATTTATCTTATAGCCGAGAATTTTATCCTTTGACCAACATCTCACCATTTCCCCCACTCCCAGCCCCTGGCAACCACCATTCTGCTCTCTCTTTCTATGAATTCAGCTTTTTTAGATTTTGCATATAAGTGAGAACATGCAATTATTTGTCTTTCTTTGTCTGACTTATTTCATGTAGCATAATGTCCTCAGGGTTGATCCATGTTGTCACAAAAGGCAGGATTTCCTTCCTTTTTTATGGCCGAATAATATTCCATTGTAGATATATACCACATCTTCTTTATCCATTCATCCATTGATAGACACCTAGGTTGTTTCCATGTGTTGGCTATTGTGAATAATGCTGCAGTGAACATGGGGATGCAGATATGTCTTTGAGATAGTGTTTTCATTTCCATTGGATATATACCCAGAAGTGGGATTGCTGGATCAAGTGGTAGTTCAATTTTCAATTTTTTGAGGAATCTCTGTACAGTTTTCCATAGTGGCTATAACAGTTTATATGCCCATCAGCAGTGCATAAGGGATCTCTTTTCTCCACATCCTCACCAGCATTTATCTCCTGTCTTTTTGATAATAGATATCCTAATAGGTATAAGGTGATATCGCATTGTGGTTTTGATTTGCATTTCCCTAATGATTAGTGATGTTGAACATCTTTTCATGTACCTGTTGGCCATTTGTATGTCTTCTTTGGAAAAATTGACTTTTAAGTTGTTCAATGAAGAATAATTGGACAGATAATTATATCAGCAAAGTGATATAAGGTCACATTTTTTTTTTTTTTGAGGAAGGTTGACCCTGTGCTAACATCTGTTGCCAATCTTCCTCTTTTTTCCTTTTTTCTCCCCAAAGCCCCAGTACATAGTTGTGTATCATAGTTGTAGAGTTGTAGCTCTTCTATAAGGGATGCCGCCTCAGTGTGGCGTGATGAGCGCTGAGCAGGTCCACACCCAGGATCCGAACCGGCGAACCACGGCCTGCCGAAGCAGAACGCACGAACTTAACTGCTATGCCACTGGGCCTGCCCCTATACTGTCACATTTTCTAGTGTGACAGAAGGAAGGTTTTCCCTTAGGAATATTTTTTATTTTAAAACTTGTATGAAAACAGTCAGTGAATTTTGATATGTAATTTCAGACTTCAAAATTAACACCTTTTTTGTAGCTTATCATTATGCTAGTGGTAATTATAGTAATTAATTAAACACATTAAGCTAAAACAAATATGTGTTTTCATATTTTAGTTTGCACTGGGTGAATGACCTTCCTAGAGCACTTGAACAGGTAAGAAACTTAATGTTGATTCTAATAGCCTATGTTATTTTATTTATTAGAAACTTATTAGAATTTGTTTCAGTTTTTACACAGAAAGTTACAGGTGTTTCTGTTTTATAGTTCTGACAATAGAAAATGGAAGCAAATGAAGTATTTATTATCTTCTGAGGGCCAGGTACACTTAGTGCCCTTTGGCATATTACGAAGTACAATGAGTGACTCCCCCCTTCCTGGGAATTCAAGAAATCTAATAATGGAGATGTTTTAAATATTTATGAAAACTTTAGTAACCCGTACAAAATAATATTGATATCGTGACATTTTCTATATGTTATTTTCCTTCCTTAATTGCCTATAAATTTTTTGTGGGTAAGAATTTATTTGTTTATATTTGTATCTTCCCCATGCCTTATACTTAGTGCTAGGTAAATGTTCGTTGGTTGACTTTTATCAGGTGATAAGACAGGTGAGAGGGAGGTAAAAAGCATTGTGTTCAGAGGCGGGGAGTAGATCACCGTGGCTTGGAGTGGTCTAGGAAAGCTTCAAGAGGAAGTTTGGGGCCTTAGAAGGCAGGTTGGATTTGGAGTGGGAAGGCATCCCAGGAAGGCAGAGTCACAGGCTAGGTGGGGTGGTACAGGAGCCTCAGGAGCATGAAAGGACAAAGAGGAAGCCTGTTGGAGAATTAGCATAGTGCTGGGAGGTGAGGTATGCCAGGACCAGAGTTAGGAGGACTTGGGTTACAGATTAAGGAATTGGGAGTTTATTCTTGATGCAATTCAGAGCCACTAGAGAATTTTGAAGAGGAAAGTGACATGATTAAAAAGCTAGTGGGCAGGGTAATAACTATCATATCTTAAGCATGTACTACTTGCCAATCACTGTGCTCTGTTTTATATATGTGTTAAATAACCCTGCAAGATATCTTCATTTTGCTGCTTGGAAAACTGATTCTGGGAAAAGTTAGTTAAATTGAAGAGAGACTGTTTTCAGTGGTCCAGGCATGAGATAAACTAAACCTAGGTGGCAATGGTAGGAGTTAAAGGGAAGAGAGAGGTAGTTAGGACTCTGCAAAGGAAGAATCAGCAGTTTGGTGGCTGGTTAGATCTGAAGATCAAAGAAAGGGAGGAGTCAGAGCTACCTTAAAGTTTTGAGTCTGGATGCCTGGGAGAATAATTAGTAAAAGTTGAAGAAAGAATGGTAAAGGGAATAGAAAAGGTAAAGAGAATAGAAAATAGTAGTTTACAAATATAGAACTTGGAAAGAGGAGTTGGTTTGAGAATAAGTGTTGTGTGTGGGTTGGATGTGTTGGGGGCTGAATTTGCCAAGAGACAAATGTCCATGACGTAGGCAGTTGAAGAGGAGTTTAGAATTCTGGGAAGATGTCCAGGCTAAAGATAGAGATTGGAAAGTCATCCTTGTGAAATCCAGGGGAATCGATAAGCTCTCTGAGGTAGAGAGAAGCTGCAGAGAGTTGAGGACTAAATCTTAGGTACCTATTATATTAGAGTTTGATGACAAGAGAAGGAAGTAACACTAGAGGGGCAGAAGGGAAGGAACGAAAGATTTTGCAGCTGGTTTGCATATATGCTGTTTTGTAATTGCTTCATAATATATTAAGTATAAATTCAAGCTGGATACTTTGATTAGAAGAGCCTGCTGTGATTTGGGTTCTGGTTTACTTTAGAATCCACCTTTTCCTGTAACTTTCCTCATTGTCGAGAACAGTCAGAGTCAAACTAGTTACAGATTGTAGTCTAAGAGAGTCAGTGAACAAACATTTGTGGTTCTGGAATTCACTCTGGCCACTATTTTGCTAAAGTTATCAATTAAAATTTTTTTTTGTTTTAAAGCTGGAAAATAAGTTCTCCTTGAAGAAAACTAATGTGTTACTAGGTTAATGTTATGAATTATAATGGTTTCTCTATAAATTAGCTTTTTCTGCATAATAAGCCACCCCAACTTAGTGGTTTAAAATGACAATTTACTTAGCTCACGATTTTGTGAGTTGGGAATTTGGGCAAGACTTAGGAAATTCTTCTGGGCCTGGCTTGGCTCACCCATTGCTGTGATCCGCTGCTAGATTGTCTTGGAGCTGGCTGGTCAAGGATGGCCTCAGCTGGGATGCCTGGCTGATCTCTGCTCCTCGTGTCCCTCATCCTTCACCAGGCTAGCTCAGGCTTGTTCACAACATGGTAGCCTGACAGGGCTCCAAGAGAGCAGGTGGAAGCATGCAAGGCTGTTTGAGACCTTGGCTTGACACTGACATGCTGTCACTTGCACCGCATTCTTTTGGCCAAAGCAAGGCACAAGTCTAGCCCAGATTCAAAGAGAGGGGAAGTAGACTCCATCTCTTGATGGGAATTGTTACAAAGTGACATTTCAAAGGGCACAGGTACAGAGATTATGATTTTTGCAGTCTCCCATACTTTAAAATTTTTTCTTGCAGTATTTTTCTGATTATAAAAGTTGTCTATTATTAGAAAATTTGAAAACATAAAACATATTTTATATATACTAACCGTATCAATGAATGTATTGTATCTTTACAATAATATTATCCTGAATCAACTTTCTGACAGTTTGTTTCCTTATATGTTATTTATTAAATTATCTGATTATTTATTTGACAAAATAAGAATGGTAATCCTAAAATATTGATTGAGACACCATGTATTTATCCTTTTAACATTTTTATATATAAAATTTTGAATAGTTTTGTTGTCTTGTATTTATTACAGATTCATTATGTTTTAAAACCAGATGGAGTGTTTATTGGTGCAATGTTTGGAGGTGACACACTCTATGAACTTCGGTGTTCATTACAGTTAGCAGAAACGGAAAGAGAAGGAGGATTTTCTCCACACGTTTCTCCTTTCACCGCTGTCAATGACCTAGGACATTTGCTCGGGAGAGCTGGCTTTAATACACTGACTGTGGTAATTATCAAGAGAATCAAGTAACCCATTAATTACACAGTTCAGAAACAACTTCTCATTTGAAAGATAGAAAATTTGGGGTATTGATGGTGTTATGGAAAGGTTTGGGCACTTTCTCTCTCTCTCTTTTTTAATTTAGTTTGTATAAACACATCTTGACTCACACAAAGTAGGCATGTAAAATTTTTAGTTGTTACCTGAATAAGTAGCCCCCCCCAAAAATGGACAGTTAAAAAGGAGGCTATTTTCTAAGACATACTACTCCATCAGAATCTTCAAATCCAGAGTTAGGTGTAATATGAGAGTTAGAGCATTCCAGATGATAGGGAAAAGGGGATGTGCAGGAGCATTAACAGCACTATCTTTGCCTCCAGCCCTCAATTGAAATAGTGCCATATGAGACAGAAATGAGAGAATATGCATTTGCGAGGCCTAGGGTTAGATCAAAGTTAGAGAAGGTAGGACAGGGGGCCACACTCTGTTATGGCTAGAGAGGTCTGGAAAGAGGACCCATAGGCCATCAGGGCAGCGGGGCAGAGGAAACATGGAGTCAGCATGATACAGTGATAGTACAGGACATTGGTGTCTGACAGGTATAATTTGGATCCTACCTTGCCCTTTTGATAGCTAGGGGACTTGGGGGAATATACTTTACGTCTCTGAGCATTCATTTAAACAAAAATGCAAATGTCACTCACCTCAGGTGTCTATTAATATTAAATAAGATAAAGGGTGTGAAGTGCCTGGACCATGATAGATGCTTGATGAATATTAGCTTCTGCCTTCCTCTCCCTCTCCCTCTGTCTTAGCACTTTGCAGGCCAAGGCTTCCAACAGGGAGTTATCTGGAGAGACAATGATTGCCCCCTTCCAACTCCCTTCAGTAGCAGAGTCATTCTGAGAGATGTCATTACTGCCTTCAGAGATTGGTTGAGTAGACTTGCTATGATTTTCCAAACCCCTCAAGCCTAGAAACATTTCTAAACCTGATTAGCGGAAATAGAAATTTCGTGATGAAGAAAGCTTCTCATTGCATAATTCGAGATGATAGGCTTTAAATGAAAATAACTGTTTAAGGTGATTTAGTGTGAATATACTTCATAAAATCAACTGACCAAAGATGGATTGTCATATCCTTCCATGTTTTGATAGAAAGCAAAGGGCATAGACCCCTAGGGCCTTTAATGTTGGAAAGGGGCTTCCAGGGAAGGAAAGAGAGACAGTGGGCTAGGAACTGATGACAACTCTTAAGATTTCACAAATGTGTCTGGGGTTGACCTTTTGTAAACTTTTAAATGGCCTGAGTCAATAGAAATGGCATTCTGAGATGTTGGGCAGCTAGAAATGGGAGAACTCTGTTTCACATGAGTGTTCTACTTTGTAATTAAATAAACACTGTTAACACAGACAATTGTATGTTGAGGGGTCACTGTATTTTTTTAATGTATTTTAATTATATAAGTAATTACACAAATATATTTTGGTTGTAAACATTAAATTATACAGGTAAAGTGAAAGTTTGTCATTCCCCCATAATCCCAAAAGTCTTAGCTCCCTCCTGAGAGCATCAAAACTTTGGTCTCAGAAGCCCTCTACACATTTAAAATTATTGAAGATCTTAAAGGGCTTTTGCTTATGTGCTTTGTATCTATCAATATTAACCATATTAGAAATTAAAACTGAATTGTAGTATTTATTCATTTAAAACTAACAATAATACACCTATTACATGTTAACATAAATAACCTATTTTTTGTGAAAACTGTATTTTCAAAAAAAGAAATTGAGAGAGAAGAATGTCATTGCTTTACATTTTTACAAATTTCTTTAGTGTATGGCGTAATAAGAGAGCAAGATTTTCATGTCTGCTTCTGCACTCACATCTATTGCAATATCCCACATCACATAACTTCTGAAAAATCCCATTGTATACTCATGAGAGAATGAGAGGTAAAAAAGTCAAAAGAGATAGTTTTGACTTTGTGGATCCCCAAAATGGTCCCGGGGACCCCAGGACTCTCCAAACCACACTTTTGAGAACTGCTGCCCTGGAGGTAGCTACTGTTATCACTTTGGTGTGTAATGTTCCAGATTTTTTAAAACAAGAAATACTTTACCATACCATATATAGACACACATACATATGTATGTATTTCAAAAATTTATTTTTCATTCTTAACAGTATTGAGAGAGTTGTCTAAATCAATGTGGATATAGTTGCCTTTCTTCTTACTTCATGCATATTATTCCCTAGTATGAATGTACCATGGTTTTATTTAACTATTTCCTTCATGAAGAACATTTAGGTTTGTTCCAGTTTTTTTTGCCAATAGAAACAATACTGAAACAAATATCCTTCTGTTCTGTTTTCATTTATTTATTCAATCTTATAAGAAACATTTATCCAGTACCTTCCAAATATCTACCTTCTAGATATTTGGGATATAACAGTGAACAGACAGACAGAAGTCCTTGCCTGATGTTCTTGGATTTATAGAGGACCTGTCACTAGACTGTAGAGAGTCCAATGACACTGGGACGTTGTATGCAAACTTGGTTTTTGTTTTTTGTATGTGGAGGAAAGGACCCATAGTTTTCATCAGATCTTGAGAGAGGACTATGAAAATAGACCAGAAACCATTGGTTTAAAGCATTAATCTCTAATATTTATTTTACTTATAATAAGGAAAAGATTATCTTTACAGTCCGCCCTCTTAAGACCTGTCTCCCATGTTGCTATGTTACAAACCGAAGTGAAAAAGAAAGAATTTCTGATTGAGAATGTCGCTAAAAAGCTGCTAAAAAGTGTAGGAGGGATGTAGGGGTCACGAGTGACGCAGAGAAGTGTAGTGCAGATGTTCATGGGTGATGTTAAAGAAGTTGTGCCAGGTCATACAGGTTAGTCAACAGTATTAGGGGACTCAAAATATTGCCCATTAGGAAAAAGATGGGACTTCTATCCTGAGTCATCAAAAGAAAGTTAAATTATGTTAGCCACATGTGGTTTTTTAAGCTTGTAAAGTGGGTTGTGTGTTCTGAAAACATTTCTACTAAAATGTTTAACCTGACATTATAGTATTTAAAAGCCTACATTTGTGTTAATTGGGAAATCTATTAATTCAGGATACCTTCCATATTCTTCTCCAAAAATGAACTGAATGACTCAAACATTAATATAATACAAAAATATTGATGTAGAATCGTCTTTATAGTATATGAAATTAGAGAGTTACTGATTTAATAATAAAGCTGTACAAATTTGTTCCTTGAGACATATATGCTGTCTCTAAAGTGCTGTATTAATATTGTATCCTAATTCATTTTCTAAAAACCCCATCCAAAAAAGCTTTTATATAATCAATTATGCAGGTTTATGTTGCGTACAACATTATACTGCAATGGATTTTTATTTTTAAAGTCAAATCAAGTCAAATTAATATCATATATTTACATTTATATGACCCTCTTAGTGAATTATTTTTAGTTAGTTGGCATTCTAAATGAAGCTCATTTCTTTTAGAATAGAGCTGCCAGTATAGTATTTTAGGAGAAAATGGCAGATATAGTTCATCTTAATTTGAATAAGGCTTTTGACAAAGCTATTGTGGTACTCTTTTGATTGAGATGTGCTTTTAGTTGGTTTCATTGAAGAATTTTTTTCAAAGGATATTGCTTAATGACTGATTAAGCAATGACTTATTGTTTTTAATGACTGTTTTTTTGTTGTTTTTTTATTTTATTGCTATCACATTGGTTTATAACATTGTATAAATTTCAGGTGTACATCATTATACTTTTCTTTTTGCATAGATTACATCATGTTCACCACCCAAATACTACTTGCAATCCATCACCATACACATGTGCCTAATCATCCCTTTCACCCTCCTCCCTCCCCTCGTCCCCTCTGGCAACCACCAATCCAATCTCTGTCTCTATGTGTTTGTTTGTTATTGTTTTTATCTTCTACTTATGAGTGATCATATGGTATTTGACCTTCTCCCTCTGACTTATTTTGCTTAGCATAATAAGCATAACCCTCAATGTCCATCCATGTTCTCACAAATGGCTGGATTTCATCATTTCTTATGGCTGAGTGGTATTTTACTCAGTAGTATTCCACTGTGTATACATACCACATCTTCTTTATCCATTCATCCCTTGATGGGCACTTAGTTTGCTTCCAAGTCTACGCTATTGTGAATAATGCTGTAGTGGACACAGGGGTACATGTATCTTTACACATTGGTGTTTTCATGTTCTTTGGATAAATACCCAGCAATGGAATAGCTGGATCGTATGGTAGTTCTATCCTTAATTTTTTGAAGACTCTCCATACTATTTTCCATAGTGGCTGCACCAGTTTGCACTCCCACCAGCAGTGTATGAGAGTTCCCTTCTCTCCACATCTTCTCCAGCACTTGTTGTTTCCTGTCCTGTTAATTATAGCCATTCTGACAGGCGAAAGGTGATATCGCATTGTAGTTTTGATTTGCATTTCCCTGATAGTTAATGATGTTGAACATCTTTTCATGTGCCTACTGGCCATCTATGTATCTTCTTTGGAGAAATGTCTGTTCAGGTCTTTTGCCCATTTTTTAATTGAGTTTTTAGTTTTTCTGTTGTTGAGATGTATGAGTTCTTTATATATTTTGGATATTAACCCCTTATCAGATGTTTGGTTTGCAAATATCTTCTCCCAATTGTTGGGTTGTCTTTTGGTTTTGTTGATGGTTTGCTTTGCTGTGCAGAAGCTTTTTAGTTTGATGTAGTCCCATTTGTTTATTTTTTCTATTATTTCTTTTGCCCGGTCAGACATGGTGCTTGACAATATGTTGCTAAGACCAATGAATGACTGATTGTTTTTAATCTTAGGAGCCCTTTTTAAAAATGGTTTTTTAATGTAGAAAAATATATAGAAGAAATGTACTGCCCAGAGATGATCTTATTAGAAAGTGCACACACAACCTGATCCATGTATATATTTTAAAAAAAAAAAGTGAAAAAAAAAGGATAGAATGAGATAAATAGAGCAGGTAAAGTGAAAGAAGTCTCCTCCTCCTGACTTCTGACACCCCTTCCCTCTCCCCAAAGATGACCTTTGTTAGCTGTCTTGTACATCCTTTCAGAACAATTTTTCCTCATTGACCAGAATACAGTTATATCATTTAAACCAACATATGCAATAATATATGCATTCTTTTGCTTTTCTGTGTGCACTCTTTTGGGTTTTTTTAGTCAATATATATCTTGGAAATCTTCCCCTACAAACTTTTATCTACCACATTCTTTATTTTTTTTGGGGGGGGGGGAAGATTGGCCCTGAGCTAACATTTGTTGCCAATCTTCCTCCTTTTTTCCTTTTTTCTCCCCAAAGCCCCAGTAGATAGTTGTATGTCATAGTTGTACATCCTTCTAGTTGCTCTGTGTGGGATGCTGCCTCAGCATGGCTTGATGAGCAATGCATAGATTCATGCCCAGGATCCGTACTGGCGAACCCCGGGCTGCTGAAGCAGACAGAGCACGCGAACTTAACCACTACACCACGGGGCTGGCCTCATAGCACATTCTTTTTTAACAACTGTATAGTATTTCATTGAATAGATACACTTTAACCAGTTTCTATTAATAGACATTTAGATTGTTTCCAGTCTGTTTTTTGGTTTCTTTTTACTCTTTCAAACAATGCTGCAATGAATTTCCTTTCACATAATTTTGGCACATCTGTCAGGCCAATTTCTAGCAATGGAATTGCTGGGTTAAAGAATCTACGCATTTCAAATTTTGATGATAATAAAGTCAAATTACTCTCCAAAAGGTAACATCAATTTACATGCCCCATCAACAATGTATGAGAGTTCCTGCTTATACTTTTGTTTTGTATCACTAAGGTTAAAAAAAAAAGAAGGTAACTGGTAATTTTGTTTTGCATTTCTTTAGGAATTAGAATTGGTGTTTTTCATAAGTTGTCTTTTGGGCTTTGTGCTTGATTCTGTGCAACATTAAAGTGTAAAATTGGGAGGAATAGTTAATACATTAGATAAAGTTACAGAACATAAAAAGATCTAGACACTTCAAAAGTGGTTAGTGCAGAGAAGATGAAGTTTGAGATACATGCAGCTTTTTGATAGCAAACTTGAAAAAAAAGTAGGTGTCCTGCATTTAGGGCTAGTTTCCAATATAAACAAATTCCTATATCTTAGTGCTTAACACAAAATTTTATCATATCCCAGCTCCACGCTGGTTGGGCAGCCCATCTCCATCTTGTAGTTGTGCCATCTGGCCTTTGCATCCTCTAAGGTCACCACAGCAGAAGAGACAGCCTGGAAAAGGCTCATTAGCTGTTTACTACCTTGCTCCCCCCACCCCCTTTTTTTGGCCAGAAGTAATGTCTGTTTGGGGCTGGGAAGTGTCAAGGAGCACCTGGATATTTGGGGAGCATCACTGGTCTCTGCCACTCTACCCATAGTAAACTCCTGTATCAAACTTCAAAAGAGATGGGACATCATTGCCCAATAGTTCATTTGAGAAATAAACTATGTATGTGCCAGCAATGTGCCCACCTCCTAAATGAGCCAATGCAATATTGCTGCATTACTAGAAGTAGAATGAAAACATCTTGGGAGATGACGCTGTTTGGCTTGATTCTGGGTGCCACATTTTAAGAGAGATTGATATCGACAAGGTACAGAGAAATGTAGTCAGAACGTGTAAGGATCTATAAATTTTGTGCAGAAATTAACCCCTCTCCCTAGAAAAATTATGGTGTTCTGGAAGAGTTTTCAAAGACTTGACGAAGAGGGTAGTGGTTTGCAGGGTACAGAATAGACTTAGTCTATGCTGTTCCCAAGGAGAAAACTAGAACCAGTTGATGGAGTTTTAGGAAGATTTCTCTTAGAATGGCAAATATTTATTCTGCAGTTTGAAATCTTCATAATCAAATCAAATAATCATAATCAAATCAAGCATAAGCCAGATGACATCTGTGAAGAATATTGTAAAGAAGATTCCTTTATCATGAGAGACTGGTCTAGTAATCTCTATGGCCTCTTTTCAAATTTGGATTTTTTGTGATGATTATCAAATGAATATTCCTTTTTCTTTGTAAATAGGACACTGATGAAATTCAAGTTAACTATCCTGGAATGTTTGAATTGATGGAAGATTTACAAGGTAAGGCACTTTAAAGGACTTTTAGACTCCATTTGAGAGTCATAAATTTGAGAGCTGACTCGCAGGCACTGGGGCTAAGGACTAGGGATACACTGGGTAAGGAGAAAGCAGACTGTCTTCATAGAGCTTCTAATATAAAATGGGTGAGGCAGACATCAGGCAGCTGCCACAAAGATAAATGTTAAATTAGAATTGTGATAAGTGCTATAAAGTAGAGGTACCTGGTGCTATGACTGCCTATAAAAGGATGGCAGGACTCTCTTGAAGGGTGCATTTGAAGATGGTCGAACTCATCAGTGACTTCCTCCAGGAACAGTTGGCAGCTCAGGTCCAGGCACAAGAAAGCAGGTAGTTGGGTTAGTTTAGGATTGAGGTTTGTCAAGGGGATAGGTCCTGGTCTGAGAGAGTCAACGATGTCTTGTCCGAGGAAGTGATGATTGTGCTCTAAGAAAATGAAGATGAGGTAACTAGGAGAAGAGGGGAGGGAAGTGAGTCCCAGGCAAGGAGAGGAGCATGTGCAAAGGCGCTGTTGCAAGAAAGAGCATGGCAGAAACTGAAAGAAGGGCATTTTGGCTAGACTACAAAGGAGTAAAAAGAAGAGTTAAGTGATTAAATTGTTAGGTAAATGGGGACCAGAGATCATGCAGTAGAGTTGTATAGACCTTGTTAAGACTGTTTGTCTTTATCTTAAAATGCCCTTTGAGATATTTTAGTGGGGAGACAGAAGGGGGTTCAGATATCAGATTTGTATTTTGAAAAGAATGGATTGGCAGATAAACTAGTAGGAAGACTTATTGCAGTAAAGCTCTGTGAGAAATGATGGTGGTTTGGACTAAGGTGGTGGCAGAGGAGATGGAGAGAAGTGAATGCATTCTAGGGATATTTAGAAGGTAAATTTGATAGTTCTTGCTGATAGATTACATGTGGGCTGATGTAAGAGAGAGACATTTCAAACATAACTGCTGAGTTGCTAGGTCACATAACCAGATAGATGGTGCCCTTCATTGACGAGGAAACAGTAGAAGACGACCAGGAATAGCTCTTGAGTTCATATTTGGGTATGTTGGGTTTGAAGTGCTTTTGTAATATCTAAGAGGAAGATGTCAAGTAGATGGTTGGGCGTGTGGATATGTAGCTTAGAGGAGGCGACTGGCCTGGTTAAAAAATTGTGATTCACTTGTGAATAGGTGGTATTTGAAGCAATTGCCTAGAGAGAGAGCATGGAGTGAGAAGAGAAAGCGGCCTGGTATTGAGCCTTTAGGAACCTAACATATAGTGACTGCATAAAAGAAGGATGAGCCTGCAAAGAGTATGAGAAAGAATAGACAGCAAGGTATTAGGCAGAAACAAACAAAAAATATAGAATTGCCTAAACTAAGAGATAGAGTTCAAAATAAAGGGAACCTAAAAAGTTCAAAACAAGCATCAAATGCTGCTGAGAAGCGAGATACGTACTGAGAAGAAAGTCCATTAGATTGAGGAACAAGAAGATTGTTGGTGACTGTGGTGAGAGCTCTTTTGTTGGAGTTATGGGAGTAGAAGTAATGGGAGTAGGATGAAGATTAAGTAGAAGGTGAGGGGCTGGAGACAGCAAATATGTATTATTCTCTCAAGAAGTTTGACTTGTGAAGAGGTGAGAGACAGAAAGGGTGCAGGTGTCAGAGGGGAGGAGAGGAATAGGAGATGGAGTGAAGTTTTTATTTTGTTTTGTCTTAAGACTTATTTACCTGCTGATTGGAAGAATCTAAGTGCTTCCATAGAATTGACTCTAGAAAGGAGAGAAGAGATACTTGATGGTGTCAATTACCTGAGAAGGTGGAAGGAGATGAGACAGAAAGACCTGGGGGAGGGATTGACCTTAGATAAAGGGAGGGCAGACTTATAGAAGGAAGGAAGGAGGAATAGTGCCAGTGGACATAGGTGTTTATATTTGATAGCAGGAAGTTCCCATCTAATGGATCTATTTTCTTTGTCAAACAGAAAGTAGTATCATATACTGAGAATGAGAAGGTCAGAGGTTAACGAATGGAGTGGAGATGATTTGAAATAGTCATTGTAGAGAATAGAAAGGTGAATTAATCAGGGAAAGTTATAAAATTTGAAGGGTGCCTTTGAAGTTGGTCAGACACATCTGTGACTTTCTCCAACAATAGTTGGCAGCTCAGGACCAGGCACAGAACAGATAGTTGGGTTAGTTTGGGTTGGGGCTTTGCTAGTTGACAGGGACAAAAAGACAAAGGCAAAAGATAATTCCAAGAGTGTAATTGAAATAATAGCCCAAAGAATCTAAGCTGGAAGAAAAGGGAAATAGAAAAAAAAAAAAGAATGAGCTAATGGCTTGGGAGAAAGTAGAGGCGATGTGCACAAGCGATCCCAAGGTGGTCAGAGAATGATCATGGTTAAAATGCCTGAACATGCTCGAAGGACAGGAGGATATGGTCAGAAAGTGGGACGTTTGAATTGATGATTTTGGAAGTAAAGCAGTTAACAAGTGATAACTTGGTCCAGGACATGTTACCGGTGTGATAGCAGAGGTGGAGTGATGGAGAAGTCCGTTAGTGGTGAGAAGACTAAAAAATATTAGAGGCTGTGGTACTTGATGGTTATTAACATTGAAGTTATCCAGGGTGGTGGCAGGACTTGGGGTACACGGGGAAACTGAGCCAGGTGCCAAAACCTTTCATGAATGAGAGGAGGGACTGGGAGCCTGATGTCTGTAGCAAGCAGGAAAGAGAGGGGGTTCTGGCCAAATGGTATGGGTCCCAGCAGGGCAAGGGTTTTTAGTAGAGTGAGAAGTAATGGCCTGGAAAAGGCTTTGAGGAGCAACAAGGACACAAACCCTACCTCCCATCCCCAAAAGAGGTGACATATGCAAAAATAAGCATCTACCACTGAGAGGGCTACTGGAGAAGTGATTTTTCTCAAAGGAGAGCCACAACTTGCCTCATGAGAATTTGTGAGGTGTATTTTTTTATTACACAAATGGTGTAGACAATTTTGATGAATGGGGGAAGCCGAACAGATAAAAGGTATGTTCTATGAAGCCAGAACTGCACTTACCTAGGGGAGCCTTAATCTGGATCCTGAAAAATTATAAGATGGTTTAAAGCAAGAGGATTATAAAAGTAAATACTTTCTATTTATTTACGGATTTATAGTTTTTCCTGAGCATTGTTGCACTTGCTTCTCTCAATAGCCCTCTAGTAACTACTTTATCTCTGTATTACAAGTGAGAAAAATTAGGCCCAAAGAGAACACTTGTCTGTTAGTGGAAGAATTAGATGCTAAACTCTTGCCTTCTTGACTCCTCCTCTGGCACTTTCTTAACTGACTCTGCTGTTTCTTGTAGCTACTCATTTGTAACAGGTCCATTTTACCCGTCATCCAGCCTCCTCTGAGTACAGTGCTTCTGTCACCTTTGCAAGGGGAGAGATGTGTAGCTGAAAACTTACTATTGTAGTTACTCTTCATTCATTGTAATTTAATACAGGGATTGGGAGCCTTAGCCTGCATGCCCAAGATGACAGGGGACCAATAATAAACCACATTCTCCCTCCCCAGCACTGCCCCGAGCTCTTGGCTCCCCCTGATAGAATCATGGAGCCCCTTCACCCGAAGGCTTGAGACATGGTCGTGGGCTGGTGATTTGTCAGACTCTAGTGATAAAAATGTTTTTCAAATACAGCATTTATTTGTTCTGCTGTAAAATAAATGCTGTGCTCGTGATTCATTTCAAGAAAGAAGAGAGAAAGAGACTAGAAATTAGACCTATATTTGGAAAAGATTACTGCCCACTAATTTAAAAGTATAGTACTTACTCTGTGCTAGGTGCGATTCTGTGAGGTTTTCTAATATCCTAATTTTATAGATTAGCAAATTGTAACATCGAGATGTTAAGTATCTAGTCCATGGTCACACTAGATCTGGAGTTACGATTTGAATCCAGAGTCTTATACTGCATACTTGATCTGTGTGTGTTTTTTACAGTGAAATTGGCATAGCTGTGCAGGAGAATGCACTAATCTTAAGTGTACAGCTGCTTGCATTTTTAACCACTATCCAAACTGAGGTATAGAACAGTTCCAGCCCCCAGAAGGGTGCCTCATGCCCCTTCCCAGTTGATAACCTCCTCTTCCCCTAAAGGTTTTAAATAGGTCATTATTTTGAGGAACAGTTGCCTAATATTTACCTTTAAGATGCTTTGCCAGTGCTTCTCTTAAATTTTTACTGTAAAACCTTTTACTCAAACCATGCATTTTAGTCTTTGATGTTTCTTATCCTTAGGAGGATTAAGAGGAATTATCTAAAGTTAATTTGTAAAAGTAATATTTAACTAAGTAAACATAAACCTTAACTGGTTGATTTTATATTCATTCACTTACCATTTATTGAGCATCTACCATGTGCCAACCACTGAGCCAGTGATGGAAATACATAGTTCCTGATCTCAGGGAGCTTATGCTATAGTAGAGAAAAAGACACACACAGAGATAGACAGGCATACACATTTAACTGTAAAATGAGATCATTGTTTTATAAGCACAGGGAGAAACACAAGAGAAAAAGCCCCTAAATCTGCTTAGAGGGTCAGGGATGCTTTTGCAGAAGAGGCAGCACCTAAGCTAAAATGAGTTTGCCAGGAGAGTGAAGGGGTGGGTGCGAGTTTGGGGGGGTGGGATGTTGCATTCCAGGCCGAGGAAACGGCCTGTGTAAAATGATAGAGATGTAAGAGGATACACACTTCCTTCGCTTTCCTAATTAAGGACTGTACAGTAATTCAGTGTTGCTTGAACATGTAGATTGGGGAGCTGATGGAAGATGATGCAGGATAGTCCATCAGTGGCTTCTAGATTTTATCAGGTGAGCCTTGCAGGGTGTTGGAAGAATTTTGCACCGAGAAGAGACTATCAGATTACTGTATTAGAGAGTTCATCCTCCAGGATTGTTTATGAGGCATATTTTATGAGGAAGGGAAGACTAGAGCCAGCGTGGTTAACCTCTCTTGTTATGCATGAGGAAATTGAGGCACAGAGAGAGGTAACTTGCTCAAGGTGATGTATTTAGAAAGTGGTAGAGCCAAGATTTAAGCCTACTGTAGCAGCCTGACTCAGGTCCTGAAATCTCAGCCATTCTCCTGTGAAAAGGTCTGAGGCAGCTGAGATGGGAAGAAGAGTGGTCGGGGATGAATGGAGGAGGGGAGGAGCTTGGGAGACTTCCAGGTGTGGTGCTTTGCAGATAGAAGATGATGTTACCTTCAACTTGGTTTTGGTATTTCACATTGTGTTACATTTTTTTCATGATGGTTCTGGTGTTTCTCATTTAAGCTGCCATTATTATTAATTCACAGAAAAAAGTCCAGAATGTTGACCTAATTTTACAAAACAAGTTGCATATCAGCCGACGAATGCATGAAAAGTTTTCAAGGCTTTCACAGTAGTTTTAAGGTAAGTTCAGTTATTTTTTTTAGACAATACTCAGTATTGTTCCTAGTAAACCATAATAAATTAGACTTTTTTATAAGCAGTTGAACTTAACCTTAAAAACACTGTGAGAGTCTTAAATAATTAGCTGCTTCCCAGATTTTTGTGTTATCCCAAAGCCCAGAGCTGGTCAGAAGTCCCTGAATGTGTTTCCCGCGTGGTCTTCAGGAAAGCGCTACCATGTTACATTACGAAGTGTTATCGTTCTGTTTTGAAGATGATAAAACTGAGTTTAACAGAGGTTGAACGACTTTGCCCCAGGTTACGTAAGGATCAGAACTGGGATTATGATCCCAAAGTCTAGACTCTTTGCACCACATTACACTGCTTCCTTCTGCAAGGAGAAGGGAAGTTCGTATGCTGTGTGCTTCTCTTGCTCTCCCTAGCAGCAGAGTTACTAACTGTGCTATACAGTGGTACTATTGAATTTCTGTATCAGAAAGAGCATTATGCCTCGGTCAGACCTTCAGTAAGAGCATTATGCCTAATAATCTTAATTGGTGTATCCTAATACTAGTTATTTAGAAGGCATTTTAAAATTTCTAGTGCATTAAGTATTTACATTTAAAAAATTAAACCTGTTTTCCACTGGTGTTGCCTCTATCTAAATGTGTAAGTCGCAGCAAGAGAAGTTAAGCGGAAATGAAAACACCACAGCCATCATCAGCAATAAACTCTTCTAATATGAGTCCCAGTTTACCTCTGGTCTCTTCATATAGTTGATACTATGTAGGAGAATGTTTTTAAATTAGATTACGTAATGGGTCTAAAATGTTAGCATTAGAAGCCTTTAGAGATCATCTAGCCTGGCCACCTTGCAGACCTAGAGTGATTAGTCTAAGATCGTCTAGCTGCTCATGACAGCAAGAATGAGATCCTCCTTTTTCTTCATGATGATGAATCTACTAGTTTGTATGTCTGTTGTTCTTCTTGAATTGGGGCTGTTATACTCACAGGATGCAAGACATTACTTTTAGTATCAGAGATGCATTATTTTAGGGAATAGTAGGAACCTTTTGGGATTGGAGAGAAGAAAAAGGTTTACTTAGGGCTGGCCTGGTGGCATAGTGGTTAAGTTCGCATGCTCTGCTTCGGTGGCCTGGGGTTCTCAGGTTCCGATCCCAGGCGTGGACCTATACACCACTCATCAAGCCGTGCTGTGGCAGGCGTCCTACATATGTGGCAGAGAAAGATGGGCACGGATGTTAGCCCAGGGCCAATCTTCCTCAGCAAAAAGAGGGGGATTGGCAACGGATATTAGCTCAGGGCTAATCTTCCTCACCAAAAAGAAAAAAACACAAGGTTTACTTATTGCAGCTAATTTGTTGATTGTTTCTAATAAGGCCATTAAAAACTTGGGAGATTATTATTTTTAAACTACTGAAGAAAACTGATATTGGGAAGTTTATTTGTTTATTTTGTGAAAGTAGAAAAACAAAACTAAGAAACCGATTTTTGATCATATAGTATATAGAGAATAAATATAAAAGATTTTACTTTAGAAATTCTTTTAATTTTGCAGACTAGCTTAAAGTGTGGCCTTTCAAAGTAATTTTAAATATATGCATAAAGAAAAATCAAATATACAACATTAATTTTTAATGAACAATAGAATAAAGTTAACCTAGCTTTTAGCTATCAGCTTGAAGGAAAGAAATCTAAAAATAAATTTTCAAACATTAAGAAAAGTGCCCCTGTGGGGCCGGCCCCGTGGCTTAGCAGTTAAGTGTGCGCGCTCCACTACTGGCGGCCAGGGTTCAGATCGCAGGCGCGCACCGACGCACCGCTTGTCCGGCCATGCTGAGGCGGCGTCCCACATACAGCAACTAGAAGGATGTGCAGCTATGACATACAACTATCTACTTTGGGGCTTTGGGGAGAAAAAGGAAAGAAAAGAGGAAGAGGACTGGCAATAGATGTTAGCTCACAGCCGGTCTTCCTCAGGAAAAAGAGAAGGATTGGCATGGATGTTAGCTCAGGGCTGATCTTCCTCACAAAAAAAAAAAAAAAGAAGAAAAGTGCCCCTGAAAAGAATGCACATAATTCTTTCCTAATCTGGGATAAGTAAAATATTGTAAAATCTGACACTCATCGTAGTTTTGGTACTATCTAATGAGTCTCAAAGCCCTGTTTCAAGTTTCACAATCATGCTTACATTTATGGCTTAGAAGGAGTGAGACATTGTAGCAGCGTCCTGTCTTCCTTCAAAGAGCAGCTAAAAAAGGCATGAAATGTGGCATCCTTGGCAAGTAACTTGCCATCTCCCGATGACTCCCCTGGAGAGTGAGTTGCCTTGCTTTTGCTCAATTGACTTCCTAATTTAGACCATTGTTGGCAAGTAAAGTGTACTCATGGGGCTTGCCTCCTGAAATTTGACTTCTTCACTTGCCTTAATATCCAGAAGCTTCAAGTAGTTTTGCCTTAGAATCACTAAGAAGCCTAGCTACAATCTGAGAGCAAAATGAGATTATTTAGGTTATTTTACATGACTATTAGAGCATGAAGACGGGTATACTGTTGGATGAGATGAGTTAAATCTGTGCTATTGAGCTGCTCAGGGTATTTGCTGAATTATCTGAAACTGCCTGTAGTGTATTTTTAGGTATGGGGGAGAGTAACTGTGCTTGGAATAGGAAAGCCCTGCTGCACCGAGACACGATGCTGGCGGCCGCAGCGGTGTACAGAGGTAAGGGAGCTGCCCATTCTCTCCACCCCAGCGTCACTCAGGACCTTGTGCCCCGTCATGTTTATCCCTTCAAACTGCTAGAGCTTTTTACTTTTCTATTAAGGCACCATCATATTTCTTGTCTTTCCTTTCAAAACACAGATCCTGTAGCTCCATATCCTTTTCCCAAACAGCTCTTACTATTTCCTGACTGTCATCTTCTAAGTGTTGAGGATTTGTCATGTGAGGCATTCTCAGGATCCTACAAGTATCCTAATACCCAATTCTCTTTGAAGGAGATGACTTTTATTGAGCAGATTTTTTTTCCTACTTGCATTTTTTCAGACTTTAACTATTATTTGTCTTTATAGAAATGTACAAAAATGAGGATGGTTCAGTACCTGCCACATACCAGATCTATTACATGATAGGCTGGAAATACCATGATTCACAGGTAACATTATTAAGTCAGTTTTCTCTCATGTTTCCATTTACTTTTTATTGTTTATTTACTCAGGGTGGGGGATTTTTTGTTAATATGACAGCATTAAGGGGTTTAATTAGAGCTGTATATGTACTTATTTCTAATATCTTTAATCTTTATCATTTTTAGGCAAGACCAGCTGAAAGAGGTTCGGCAACTGTGTCATTTGGAGAGCTAGGAAAAATAAGCAATCTTATGTCACAGGAGAAAAAATCACAATAAATATTTTATTCAGTGTTAATGTAGTCCAGAATTTTCATCAGAGATGGGTGACTCTCACATCTAAAATTATTATATTTTGAAGCAAGAAGCTTATATAAGCTATTTACCAGCAGACGTTTCTAATAATTAGAATAACCTAGTACTACATCTATATTTAGTAACCATTTCAGTGTCATGTGGTTTGGTTTCTATTTTCATATGGATACTGTTATCTAGTGATTTGAGTGCCTTATTTGCAGATTCAGCCCAAAAGCAAGAAGATATTTCTCTGAAAAATCCACGAATATGTTCACATATATAAATGCTTGAGTGGATGGAAAAATATTACTCATGCTAACATTTTGTACCTTTTTCTCCTTCTAATCTTTGGTATTTCTGTGACAGGACCATAGCCATGGAGATGAGGACAAATTGGTAGATTCTCTAGCGTTCTGGCTCATTTAGAATAAAAACATAGACTTGTTATAATGATTACTTTAAGATACTTAAGCCAAAATTATTTGTCACACTGTCGTCTTTGTCATGAAGAGACAGAGGATGATGTACCTCCCCAGAGCTATTATGTAGTTTTGTACTTTAGAAGAGTGCCTCTTTATTGAATCTTTCCTCACCTTTTTTTTTTTTAAAGCATCTGAATTCTAATCTTATTTCTTTTTTTTTTTGGTGAGGGAGATTAGCCATGAGCTAACATTTGTTGCCAATCTTCTTTTTGCTGGAGGAAGATTGGCCCTGAGCTAACATCTGTGCCCACTTTCCTCTATTTTGTATTGGGGACACCACCACAGCTTGGCTTGATGAGCGGTGTGTTGGTCCGCACCTGGGATCCGAACCTGCGAACCCCGGGCTGCCAGAGTGGAGCATGCAAACTTAACCACTATGCCACCGGGCCGGCCCCTAATCCTATTTCTTTTTTACCTCCATGGTCTGAGTGGGACTTCCATGGTTTTACACCCACACCCTGCCTTAGGAAGAAAACGTTTTAAAGAATTACAGAGGCAAAATCATGTGTAAAGGTAATCTCACAATGATGAAAAGTGCTGTTTGTTTGGCTTTTCTTTGTCATTTCAGGCCTTTGGCACTGTTATTCTAATCCAAGTCCACTGTCCCATTATCATCTAGTAGTGATCAAAGTTATTTGGAAGCAGTTAAGGTCAGACAGCTTAGAGCAGGTGGGAAGAAGGTGGTGATGAGGAAGCAGGGAGGAAGCCGGGAAGCACACAAGAGTGAGTGCCAGGTCTGTTTCACCAGTCAGTGGCTGGCTATTTGCTGCCCTTTTCATTTAACCTGGAAGGGCCCCAGCCTCCTCTTCAGCCTTAAGTAAGTTATTATCATATTTGCTTCTCTCTCTCCCGCCTACCTTCCCTCCCTCTACCCTACGAGCACCAAGCTCTTCCTGGGTAGGGGCTGTGTCTACCCTGTACATAGCATCGTACTTTGCACATAGTAGATATTCAATTACATTTTGAATTGAATTAAATTATGTAAAAAACATACCCTTTGAAAGACTTACAGTGAAAAAACAAAGTTTTATAGGAGAAAAAGAAATTACTACTCTCGCTCTCTTCGGTTAGGAAATTCATCAGTATTAGAAATTGGGATACTCTTGGTGGCTTTTTGTTTTGTTTTGTCTTTGTTTTTAACACAAAGGAAAAGAATACTTAGGAAATAGAATTTGGGGAAGTTTTTTTTAACTTAATTTTCAGAATTTGAAGGGAGAAGAGAACGACACCAAAAAAATGTATGTGTTAAAGTACAAACTGGTGACTGAGGAACGGATAAATTCCTTGATGTTTATATTTCTTAAAGTACACGTGTTTATGTGCATTAATATTTGTTTTTGAAGAATGTGTACAAAATTGTTAAGTGGTTATTGCTCAGGAAAGGGACTGAGGAACTGGGCGTATCTGCATCTGTCATGGTGTTTGAATGTCTCTCGGGTGCAGGAGGTGGGCAGAAACTAGGAGGGAGACTTGTACTTTTCATTTTTTATCTTTCCGTAAATTTGGAAGTTTCTTACCAAGGATATTACTTTTGTTTATTTCATGCCAACAGTGAATATATGGATGATTTGGTGGGGCTGGGGAGGAATCTACCCTGGGCTATCTCAAAAATAAGCTCCATTGGTTTAAAAAAATAAGGCTAGAAAAATTAACACAACTAATTGAGGTCACTTATTGTTTAACTGATGACACTAGTAAAATTATTTATTTTAATGTGAGTGACAATAATAAAATTATTTTTTTAGTTAATATCTGCTTAAAATATCTATCAAGCTTTAATTGTTTGGAACCCTCAGGAAATTCATTTTTCTGAATAACCATGTTTTCCAAATGATTAAGATCTCATTCTTTTAAGCAACAAAACTTTAAAAAATTTCTTATCAAAAATATTCTTAAAATATGTTACATTCTTAAATAGTGTATGGAACATAACCATTTCTTTATAACCCCACAGTTATTGTCATAAACTCAAGTGGTACTACACTGGTTGTTCCTACACTGACTGGCCCCAAGAGTGATGTGGTTTGTTTTATATCTGTTTTCCAACACTTTCTTATTTGCTGTCAGTTGTCAGTCTCAACGGCTTGACAAAAATGAACTTCCTTGAGTCAGTTCTTCTTGCCCCTTGTGATCTCCTGTAAGATTAGAATTCAGATTGGAAGCTTTCCAGGACTAGTGTATAAGGTAGGAAAGAGGAATGAAGTTCTGGGAGAAGGACTCTCCTTTGGAGTGAAATGCGTGGGCTTTACTGGTTCCCTTAACAAATCCTCATTGAGGTCCATGTGCCAGGCTTCCAGTTCTTCTCTGCTCTTCCTTGTCAGTCTAACAGAGCTTCAGTGTGTAGACGCTGGGACATCTCTTGGCTGCTGGAAGACTTTTTGGATTATTTTCTGTTTCTTAGCAGTATTCTAGGTTGTTGGCCTGGAGAATTCCAGAGGTAGCAGTATATAAGAAAATTTATATTTATACAACAAAGATTATTTGCTTTATGGAAAGAATTTCTGCAGGATTTGTTGAGATGGAAGCTACCCATAGACATCAAGTATGTGATATGATTGTGCAAAGTTACACTTAGAGAATATGTAACTCATGAAGTATCTATGAAGCAAGTTTTGTTTTTCAAACCCTTTTAGTACCATTTTTATCCACTAGGTGGAAACAATTACAGTATGGCCTGTATTGAAGACATACAGTTTTTATACTCAGTATATATCCCTTAAGTAAGGATGGAATAAAAGTATTTACCATAGATTGGCTTCTGTGTGGGAAAGAATGAATATTAATAGATATTTGGGAAAAAGAAGGGTGCTTGGTGGAGTAATTATTAGTTTATTCCTTCATAAGTTATTGTTTCAGCCTCTCTTGCCTAAGAAGAAACGTTTTGAGCTTTTTTTTTGGCAGGAGGTTGGAGGGGTGTTTCGTTATTTTTGTTGTCATTAATAATGTGAAGTTTATCTTCAGGAGGCTTATCATAGTTGGACCTACCCTTCTAGAAATTGGGCTACTTTAATTCTCTACCTAGGTACTTGATAGATATTTATCTTGCTGATTGAAAAAAATTAATTTGAAAATAAAGGTACAGTGAGCACTGGTAAGTTGTTGTTAACAAATAAGGAAATAATGCTTTCATATCTGTGGTGGTTTTAAAATCTATCCACAAATTCTTTGATGTACTTCTTTCTAATAGGTGGAGCTTCATTCCCCCCCTTTTGAGTTTGGGCTGAATTTAGTGATTTCCTTCCAACAAATAGAATATAGAAGTGACGGTGTGTCACTTCTGAGAGAAGGTAATAAAAGGCATTGCTTCCTCCTTGCTCTTTCTGGGATCCCTTGCTCTGGGAAAGCTAGCTCCCCTATCCTGAGGGAGGAGCTGCTAGCAGCCGTGTGAGGGAGCCATCCTGGAAGCAGATCCTCCAACCCCAGTCTAGCTTTCAGATGAATGTGGTTCCAGCTGACACCTTGACAGCAACCTCATGAGAGACCCTGAGCCAGAACCACCCAGCTAAGCCACTGCCAAATTTCTGACACACAGAAACTGTGAGATAATAAATGTTTGTCATTGAAGATACCATGTTTGGGGTGATTTGTTAACCTAGCAATAGATAACTAATATGCTCTCTTTGGGAAAAGTTGGTGCCCAGGGTGTGCTGAGTTGTTACTTTAGGTCTAGAACATAGCCTGCTTATTTGAAATTATGTAAAATCAACATAAACTACCATATTACATTTTTTCTCAGGGAAAACTGGACCTGAGATACCCTTCCTTGAGGTTTGAGTCCGTGGTATCTTGAAATAGAACTAACCTCTCAAGGTACATTTAGTAGTCCTTAAATTTCATTTCCTAGGAATAGTAGGATCCATTTTCTGGAAGCCTGACTGGAGCTAGTACAAAATGAAACCAGAGAATTTGAGAAGACTCTGACCTTGAGAATTCACTGAGCTAAACAGCTGCATATGGTTTCCTTGGTCAGTTCCCTTCTGCCTTAGCTGTTGAGTTGCAGACAGCTTGTTATCAGGATGGACTGTTGACACTGGGTGCTTGTTCCCAGGCTCTCAGATGAGCACAATGCTGTGGAAATAGTTAAGGGCTTTTTAAAAGCCAGAGTTAATCCTGTCTTGCTATGCTGAAAGGGGGCAAAGGTCAACTGCCTACACTTTCAAAGTGGCGGGTGGAGTCCGGCCACCGAACTCTTTGTACAAGAACCTTATGCATGTGCCCAGGATGCCCATTGCTAGCTCTGTCAGAGCCAGCCCTGTGGAAGAATAATAAGGAGCAGTTCCAGGTCTAAATGTTAGGAGTCTATACTTAGATTAGGAATGGGAGACTGGGGGAGGAGAATTCCAAAGGAGGACTTGCCAGTCCTTGCCAAAAGGAAATGAAGTGGAGGCAAGGGCAGGGACTGGGAGTCAGGTGGTCTGGGTTCAGTCCTGGCCCTGCTGGTTCCTAACACTCGGGAAAACTCCATGTCTCTGATCTCAGGATTTTCATCTGTAACATTACAGATTTGGTACTCAGTGAGTCTAAAGGGGGCCACAGGCCTGTCTTCCAAGTTTCTGAGGGGCTTTTTCCCATTGGTTGAGAATCATGGCCATAGGGAGCCCCTGTCACTGAGAGGAGCATGGGACATCCCTCCACCATCTTATGGTGGGAAAACAGCTGTGAGCATTGGGCAGGAGGATCTCAGGAGCCTTCAGCCTGATCCTAGGACCTGGGTCCCAAGACAGAAGTGTACAGAATTGCCCTCCTGTCTTTACAATTTCTCAGACTCCATGTTGATATTTTGGAACTTCTATTTTTTTTCAAAGTTAACTTGCATTTCATTTGAGGATAGGGTTTGAGAAGGCACACACAGGGGGATTTACCTTGAGTTCTCTAGTCTTAAAAGTGGTCCAGAATGCATTATTGCTGTAAGTTCCTGGGCCACAGAGAAGGGCTCCAGACCTTTACATATTCAACATGGGCTACCTTCTACATTTTCCATGGAAGATGACATTTTCTCATAGTCATCAAGCAGTCAGCATTTGGGAAGTTTTCCCAAATCTTGCAGAAAGTTGCCAGTTATTTGTCCAGCTGACAAGATCCTGAGTACAAGTCACACCAGAACAGGAAATACTCAGGTTTC